TGTGTGTGTGTGTGTGTGTGTGTGTGTGTGTCTGTGTGTGTGTGTGTCTGTGTGTGTGTGTGTATGTGTGTGTGTGTGTATGTGTGTGTTGTTTAAAAAGACCCCAGATTCTCTCTCTCATTCCCTTCACAAATCACAACAAGCCATCCATAAAACAAAATGGCTAGAGATAATAATAAAAAATGCAAGGTTGGCCACGTTTGTGTGGTTCAGCGCCAAGTGCCCAGACACCCGTCTGCCACCAAAGCGGCACACTTGCACATATACATATTTATTTCACAATCCATCAAAGGGTGGAGGGCAAAAGGCAACTTACCTAAGACCAAGGACTCCACCAGCAAGAAAGCACCGACCGCATCCGCCATAGGTCCGAAGAGTATGTGTTTGGGACGCAATCAGAGAAAACAGCTCACCCTAGGAGTCAATAGGAAGAAAGTGGGAACAGAAGGTAGAAGAAAGGGTGCTGGTCTGACCTTATCTTGATTTCCTGCACTGTCTTGTCGCATATTGAATACAACTGATTGTAGTTCTTCAAGTCGAACACCTTGTAGATCCTGCATAAACAGCATTCACCAATGGTAAACAAACCCTCCAAAACTCTACAAGAGCATTAATATTCCTACCACACCGCCTATCCATGCAATACAGCCACATAATCTACAAATTGCCACGAAGTAACCGACCAAAGGCATGTGCAAAAATATGGTTGCGCTGAACCCATCCACTACACGTGATTCACCATATCGTCAAAGAGAGTGTTCCAACTGCAGCCCAGGACATAACATCTCACTGCCCCAATGAAGACTCAAGCACGCTCAAGCAACAGGGCGGTGAAGGATGACGGAAAGATCTCCTGTGTTGCAAGAGCCAGGATTGGCAACAGTGAGGGAGAGAGGTCAGAGGCAGAGCCTGCAAACGGCTGTCCGTGGCCGCGCCCAGCTGCCACTGACCGGACCCGACATATGCAGGCACGTCTGGTTAGTCCCATGTCCCATTGGCCGGGTGAGGCCAGGCGATGGGAGGATGACCCTCGGTCGGGTTGGAGCCAGTTCCAGTGAAAAAAATGGGCCAATTGTGGGTTGACTTCTGTAAAGAGAATACAAACAGGTGGGTCGGATGGGTCCGCACATGGCTCAGGCCACCCGCCATGACTATATGTATGTACGTATGTACGGTCTACACGTACCAGCTCCTATTTTTCCATTCCTGCTTCCCTGGCCGTTGATCTGGCTCCGACAGCCTCCCAGTGCCTAGTATATGTCAAAGCTGTGCTGCTGTATGGGCAGAGCGATGCCGTTCAACTCTGCACTTCACACTGTGCAACACATACAGTTTGACTGCCAAACGCAGCGAGAGGCAGATTTGAGGAGTTGCACGGTTCACAGATCAGTGGTGACAAGGTAGCTCCATTTGCCCCGCCAACCTCCACCACCTCCTCCTCTTCCTCCTGTTTTTTGTCAGCGTCATCCGGAAATCCTCCTCTTCGTCTTCTGTTTCTTCTGTTTGCCCATGTTTCTCCGTTCAGCATCATCTTTATCTTGGTCCCCTCCACCTCCTCCTCTTCGCCTTCTTCTTCTTCTGAAATTGGGCGTTGTCCAAGTATAGACAGATGATACTGGATAATCGACTCTTTTTTTTCCCCTTCGTTACCAACCATTACCATCTGCCCCCACTTTGCATGCATGGTCAGCATCCCCATATATAGACTGAAAGATGTCCCAAATGCAGCTATAAAGCCGGTTTGTCCTATTCGGGTGAAGATGGTACCGTCTTCCCCCAAAAGGAAGGGCGGGTACAGGCAGGTGCTGTTGGTGAAAAGAATGCCAGTTACGGCCGGGTGCAGGTGACACATTATGCATGGGGGTCTGGGCGGGGGCAGGTTGAGAAAAATAAGTCTAGATCTGGGCAGGTCTGGCTGTGATTCTTCATCAAGGCCAGGGCCAGGTTGGGCCTGGGTATGTATACTAAAATTGGGCCCAGCTGCCATCGGGCCAGGTTGTGGGTACTTTTAAACCCCAGATATGGCTGGCATGCAAATACCAAATACTATGCAGGTTTGATATGGGTCCACTGTGGGTATGGGAGAAGCAGGAGTTCGCAAGCCCTGCTCAGATAGACATCTGGTCATATGGAGCAAGTGGACTGCAAACACGGGCAGAGGATGAAGTGATAAACAAAATGAGGAGAGAAAATACAAGAAATCGAGGAACCGAGACAGTGACAAAGGGAGAAATCCTAGGCATAGACATACAAGATCAAACGAAGAAACGACGACAGGCACATGCACAATTAGGCAAGATGAATTTGAGGCAGCAACAGAGGAAGACCTGCGAAGAGCTACAATTGGCAGCACAATGGTGAAGGTGCAGCACAACAAGACGCAGAAAGGGGATTAAGCATAAAAGAGTACAAGCTGGACCCAACAGGATAGAACGTGTGAGGAAAATGAGACAAAGCTCCGCTTCAAACAAAGCACAAGGCATAGGCTAGAAGCGGGAAGCTGGTAACAATTTGATCCGCTGGACCAGCTGCCTCAAAGTAACACAACCAAAAAGAACTTGCTTTCAGAAACTTAGGAAGGAAAGAGTGCACTCACGAAAACACATGCACACAAACACACACATACGTATACACACAAAAAATACTTATGCACAAACACATCCATCCATATACAACCACGCACACACACACACACGCACACGCACACACACACACACACACACACACACACACACAAACACACACATACCTGTCCTGCGCCGAGTACGTGAGAACCTTTCCATTGACATCATCGAATTCTACAAAACCAGGCCACCGCAAAGATTCTGACTCAAAGAGTGGAAACCCTGCATCAGGCTGGCCCCTTCTGATATATCTGTCAAACATGAAGCAAGCAAGATACAATTAGATTAAGTCCAAGGCCGCGGATGGAAAGATATCCCACCTTACTGCCTGCATGAAGTGATCCATTCCCGCACCCCACACGCATGACAGAAAACATGTCACCATCCTTAACAAAGGGAGGTGAAGAAGAGAAGCATCATCAATATGCAAATTCTCACTTCCGCATTAGACCACTCACTCCATCCGACGACAGATTGGTTAGGTAATGCTCTCTCCCAATGCAATACTCCTGTCTGCAGCGATCCCAATGCAATACTCCTTTCTGCAGTGATCCCAATGCAATACTCCTTTCTGCAGCGATACCCAACTCATACACATCCTCTCTATCTACATCTCTCTTCTACTAGTAAAAACTTGAAGAACGAGCACAGACTCATATAACTAGGTGGCACCAGGAAGGGTTCCCACATGTCCACATCTCAGGCATGCATGTGGAGAGCGCGGAAAGATGGGTGGGTGTATATCTGCAAGAACACATGCATCTTAGATGACTTTCGTACCAAGATATATCCGCTCATTCTACCTCAAGTACTGCATCTATGATGATGACCAGATGCTTCATGCTCATGCTACATTGTCACGAACGCTATCAGCATCCCAAGCAGGTTCACTTAGCAAACACATAGAACAACGAACCCTGAACTTACCAGGCAACCAACTCAGGAAGAGAGATTTCTCCTTGCAGGGCACTGCTGCCGATATTTCTGTGGTAAGGAGGGTCTTCATTGGTCACTAAAATCAACTGCCGATAAAACCAAGCCTAGCACAGCTGGGCCTGCTCGGGCTGGTTTGGGATACAGGTTGACAACAAACTTCAGACAGTCGCCAAGATCATTCCCCCTCCACCTAGTCCCCCCCTCCAAAATGGCATCCCATATACTACGTTTCCCGCCTCCTTACTCATAGGGTAGGGGGGGCCACATGAGTACACATATCGTCAAACAGAACTGCCCGGTAAACCGTAGGCAGAGAGGGAGAAGAGGACAACAAACGAGGGGCTGCGACACTTGCATGTGTTCTCAGATAAAATTAGATCATGCTCAGGGACAAGCATTTACTCCTTACGGAATCTTGTCCATGCCAACGTGAGGGTCTCTTTTTTTTTGAAAAGGCGACAACGCTGAGGTATCAGGATCGAACTGACCAGAACTCAAGAGTTATTTTATTCCATCAGAATTCCAGCTCAGGTCTGTTTATGAACAGTTACATTGGGCGGAACATTCAGCCACATGGACTCGCTAAGGTGTGGGTCCCATACATATTCATAAACTCAACCAAAATGCAAAGAACCAATTCGAATTTGACATCCAATAGCTAACTTGCAGCACACCAAAAGCTCAATGAACATTCATCCAAGCACCAAAGTAGCAAATTAGCCCACTCAGAGACGGAAACACCTCAAAGCACTTGATATTATACAAGAATGGAGTTGTGAATACAAGCAGTTATGGCCGCTATCACCAACAACATGAAACAGGTAAACCTCACTTTCTCTCTTCCCTTCGCTTTGCTCTCTTGGCCTCACTTCTCTCCCTCTCTCCCGCTCTCTCTTCACTTCTACATCTCACTCTCTATCCTTGGATCACTCACTCTCTCTCTCTCTCTGAAAATGCACTTGCCTCACTCTCTCTCTCTCTACCCTAATAGCTATGGCGCTCAATCCCTAGCTATGGTGCCCAATCACCCATCTCCTTCCTCAGTGTCCAACTGTGCCCAACTCGCTGAATTGCACAAGCGCTACAGCAGAGCTTCGGAATCATACGAATTGACAAGTTAAGTCAAGCAGCACTGTCGCGTCTATAAAGAGACGTTATTGTGAGACCCTTGGTCGTCTTCGGAGCGATACCGGTTCCCAGGATGCTGCTGCCAAATCGGACTTTGGGACTTTCGACTTTTTCTATCCGATACCGGGCCAGACTCCTAACCACGTACGATGCTTCGACTACCGAACCCTACCTGACCTAACACTCCAAACGATACTTCGGCCGCTGGGCCTGCCAAACAACCATGACACTGGTACCAGTTGGGACTCCTGGACCGGGAATCCAGACACGGCATGAAATCCCTTCAAAAACTTCTGACGGGTGAATTAAACTGGATGCCACACTCGGGATGGTTTGCTATACACAGTGGACCCACATTTTGCCCACTTAAGCACTGAGATCCGCTCTTGATGTGATGGATGGGTTGTTTTCACTAACGTTTTGGCTGGCCCTCCCAGCCATCTTGCTCCAGCTGCCGACCCCCGAAAGTTGCGGCAGTATGCAAGGCGTATTGGAGAAAAACGCACTGGTGGCTGAAGTCCAACCATATATGACTGCAACATTTCATCAAGCGACCTATTCATTTTCTCAATCAATTCTGCCGTAAGTGGGCTCCTAAGTGCACATTTATTCATTCATTCACCCTAATCCGCATTCTTTATCTTTCTGAACTGTTTAATTAACCTTCTCTGCTAGGTAGCCTCGTTCACCCCCAACAGGGTCCTAAATATACCAAGCAACCTTAAGTTTGAAGGCAACCTTAAGTTTGAAGGCTGCTCTTCATATTAGCTGGCATGTGCGCCCTCGTTTCATTTTTTGGCAAGGTAAATTAATCGCTGACAAGGGCCACTCTGATCTGTGTATCACTCCCAATGTTGATTGGTCAAAAACACAGAACATTCAGCTCGTTTAACTTTTTTTTTTCCGTTGACTACTTCCTGCGTTTTTTTCCCCCTATTCACTCCAACTGCAAGTCAAATCGCCCCCCCTCTAATGTTGACACTATCCGAATCCTGTGGGAGTCGCTCTTCTTCATGGCTTCCCTCAGTTCGGATTCCGATCCAATCACCCTTCATATAATCTCCCTCATTTTGGATTACGCCAACTACTGGATTTCCTTCAACACACCATCAGCCAGTAATGTTATAGCAAACCTCATTGCACTCTAACCACTTTCCCCTCCCTCATTTACAACAACCATCTTCTTCATGTTTTCTGTTCTATGACTATCAGAAAAGTCTCATGAAGTTCAAATCACCCCCATCATCATCATTATCAGCAGCAGCAGCAACAGCATCATCATCATTATTGTGCACCATCAACCATCATCACCAGTATCATTCTCATCAGTCTGATCAACGTCAGCACAGACAGCTCTTTATAAACCTTTCCAGATTCATGAATGAAATGCTTATTTCGAATCACAATTTCTAAAAGCCTGATCATTATCATCATCAGTATCTCCTTCTCGCCTCTTCACTATCATTACCGTCAATCATCGAGAGAGAGAGAGAGAGAGAGAGTTCACACGACTTCTCAAGGGCCCGCAAAACTGCCTGCTGTTAGTTTTTCCACCCATCAAGCGCTCACATCTGCCAGGCAAAACGAGAAGAAAAGGTAAAGGATGTGTTGCAAAGCTCTAAAGCTTACTCAATGGGAGTAGTTCGGCATTTGAGAGAGCTGTAGTTGTCGCTAGCATATACAGAAACTGTGATGAGGGAGTCGTTATTCTTGTTGTAGAAAAGGGACCGAATAACTTCATCTGGACTGATATTCAAGAAGCATATCCGTCTATTGGTCTCTGTACACAGGATAGGAAACACCAAACGATAGCAAACATAATAACCACCATATGCAACGATTCAGTACAACCCACACATTCCAAATACTTTCCATCGCCCGCCATCTGTTCCTTCTTCCTCATCCCCTTCTCTCTCTCTCTCTCTCTCTCTCTCTCTCCTGTCTCTTATACACATCTAGATGTGTATAAGAGACAGAGACCATGTTCTGCTGGGCTTGGAGATTTTGACT